CTACTGAATCTATCATCCACTGTATCTACTGAATCTATCATCTACTGAATCTATCAGCTACTGTATCATCATCTACTCTATCTACTGTATCTATATCCATCTATCCAGTTACTGTATCCATCTACTGTATCATCCAACCATCCAGTTCAGTAAGGAATCTTAACTTGCGTCGTTTTCCTTTTTGCAGTGGTGAAAAATTACATTGAACAAAGCAAGCAGCCTAAGAAACTGCATCAAGCCTCTTCACACGCGGTGCCTGAAATGACAGGCGTGAGCTCCGCAGGGAACAAGAGGAAACTGCCACAGCATTTCACTGATTGTATAAATAAAACAAGTGTAATATTTAATTTGTCTGGGAGCTCATGCTTAAGCTGAATATGAAGCAGAAGCCATTTTGCTTAGTTGTTCCAGTAGGCAGAGACTCCTGTGACATTTTTTAGAACAAATCTGCATTTCTCTTGGCATAGGTTTCTTTTTAACTGTATCCTGTCATTTTGATTATGATTCAATTATTTTTGAAGCTAAGTTAAACAAATTACAGACAAAACCACAGCATGTGTGGAAGACCTGAACGAAAGTTTGGGATGGTGTTGCTGGATATGGATGAGCTGGATCAAAGTGTATCATAACATGTAGATGATTCGATCTATAATGGAAACATACTGGTCCAACCACCCAACCCTATTACCAACACTATCAAAGTTTAGGGATGATTGGTCTTTGTTGTAGTGCAGAGCTCCACACTGAGTCATTGTCAGGACGGAAAGAGATTAGCACATGAGTCAACTCTTCCAAAATGTCTAAATATTTATCGAAGACCAAGAGCCCGACCACAACAGGACACGTGTACTCACCCCTTGTTCGTCCACTTTGAGGAGCTGCTCTGGGACTTTGGGAGAGTTGATGGCCAGCCTCAGACACTGGATGTTCAGCTCGGGGATGACGTATTCCAGCACCTCCTTCAGCGGCAGCCCACGAGCCATTCCGTGTCTCGCTGTGGATGGAATGGCATCCTCCAGAATGGCTCCACGAAGCGCGGTTAACTGATAAAACCAAAATATTTTATTTCAGATAAATGTAGTGTGTGACATACACAAGCCTACTTTTACACTAGGTTATCTCCTGCCACTTTTTGCCAGACAAAAAAACAATAATGTGTTTGCCCATGTGTGTGTGTGTGTGTGTAATGTTGTCTGTGATGATGACCAGAAAAGTTTTAACAAAACTATCAGAAAGTGCATTCATAGCTAAATATCCACCAGTAGTGTCATGTTGTTCTTTTGTGCTGAGGGTTTTTTGCAACCTCACACTGTGACCTGTTAGGGACACAGTGTGAGGTATGATTTTTATTCAGCCCCTCTTTCCTCGTGTTTCTCATCCTTATCTAATGAAAAGGGCAGCGCCTCCCATGAGGCTGCAGCCTCAGGAACCCGTCTACCCATGCCTTATGTTGTTTAGTTGTCTTGTTGTTTCTCTGGACGGCTGTACTGAAATTAAATTTTGTTGTGCTTCTGTGCAATGACAATAAAGGCCGATTCCGATAACTTTTAGAATCAATCCAATTCAAAATGGCCACAACAGTATATTGACATTAGCCAAAAATTTACAATTTCTTTTCTCTTCTTTCGGCTGCTCCCTTCTTCACAGGTCACCACAGCTAAATAACTCGCACAAAGACTTGGCGATTGTCCGTGTTCCCAGCTGCCCAGTCAGCCTTTTGCTTTTATTAATAAATTATTTATTATTATAATTATCAGCATTTCTGTGGTCTGCCTGCAGTTGGGTTCGACGTCAAACCACCGGAACGTGACACTAGGGTGCTCGGGGGAGCAGTTGGTGGGGGTTAAGGGCCTTGCTCAAGGACCCAGGGTGGGACAAACGAAGGTTGAGGCAGGTGTGGGTGCTTCACCTTTCTTAGCCGCATTTCAATGTTGTGGGTCCAGGAAATCAAACCGGCAACCTTCCGACCACACAACGTCTGTGCCACCACTCCCCAAAAATGTACAAATATTGAGCTACAACCTGATGAGGTTGTAGCTGAGAGTCATCATCAACACACGATCTGAGCGCAAGGTCTGGCAATATTGCACGAGTTCACGCAAAACCTATTTGAAAGTTTTGACTAAATTAGTTCTTTCTCACGATAAGATAATCTTCGTTTAAAGCTCTTGCATGAAAGGCGGCGGGCGATATCCATTCCTTGGTTAGCTCTTCAGCACAGCGTCTCATTAGTCAAGCCAATTGTTCCATCTGGACCACATTAGGAACTGAAACTTTAAATAATTCACACATGCTAACTGAACAGAGTATGTTAAGTGATATACCATGACTGAACCCATTAATGTGCCAGAAAAAGAAAATCAAGTGTTTCAAAGCATGCACTCCGTCAGCCCATGTTTACATCCATAAATCCCATTTGCGTCCACACAGCCTTTGGACATGAGCGTCAGCAGTCAATGGCCATCTGACAGAGAGGATGTCTGAAAAACA